CCCCAAAACCCCAAAACCCCAAAAAACTAAATGTAAGCTGTTAAGATCAAATAAATAATGAGACATTTGCTTTTTTATTATATTTATACTGTAGCAATCACATAAACCCTTTTTTAAAAAACGAAGTTTGAGAATTTCCCAGATCGTCTGGTAGATCCTTAGCCCATTTAATTAGTCCATCAACTTCACTCTCTTCAAAGCTTTTTCGCAATGATTTATCATGTGGATCTCTTCTTTTTATGCTTGAGGTTAGTTCATCCTTACTATTAACTTTGTCCTCTTCCTCGCTTAAGTCCTCTCTTATGTCATCTTAGTCTATTAAAGGAGCTGGACGATTAAGAATTTGCTGATTAGGTTGTAGCTAATTATTTTGATTGGATACTTAATTTGGATCTACATAAGAACTTTTGAATTTATTTTAAGCTGGTAGTTGTACCTAATAATTGGGGTGCTTGAACTTCTCCTCTTTTTCAGCAAGCTGGGTAGGATTGCTCCTATCGATTATCTTTTGATAGAAGTTATATAGAGAAGGTTTTTAGTTAGCTGTATTTTATGCTTAGCTATTATTCTGGATTTCTATTTTATTTTTAGGTAATTCAGGTAGTTTAACTGCTGGTTGATTGTGTTATTGGGTTTATTAAAGCACTAAATATTTCTTCAACTATTAATCTTCAGATTGCTTTGGTGTGTTCTACACCTCTGGCAGAATAAAGTTATTACTTTTAACCTCTTTCTCCATATTTTGTTACAAGGCTTCTTAAGTTCCACCATACAGTGTAGAACTACTATTAGCTTGGCTATCCTATTTCTACTCCTCTTCTTGGAATTACTTATACAATCCATAGAGCTACTTCATCTTTTCGATTCTTATTCGATTTTCTTCTTTCGCAGATACCTGTCCTTTGTCCCCTTTTAAAATACTTTTTCTTTGAACAGGAGGAGGCTTGTTTGCAGCTCTTATTTTATCAATAACATCTGGGTCAATGTAGTTTTCCAAAGGAGGAGGATCTAGCTCTTTCATTCTATCTTTGATTTCTTTCTTACTAGCAAATTTTAAGAAGTTCTCAAATCTGTTCCACTGCTCGTAATGAACTTCAATAGGAAGTTGATTGTTTTAATTATTTCTATTCCTTAATTGTGCCCGATATTCTGACAAAGATGCTTTGTTTGAAGCTGATTATGTTGTAGATAAGTAACTGCCCTTTGAATTCAAAGATTAAGGACCTTTGTGAAAGCTTTCAACTTGCTTTACTAAAACAGCACCTTGTGTGTACTAAGTACTGTGAGCACCTGAAATAGCATAACTATAATTTGAAGTAGGAGGACTACCTCTTTTCATAAAATCATTGCTGTTAGAGTCAAGCGTTTTCTGCTGTAAAAGGGAGTTTGCATTCCTATTAACTGATAATGCTTTTCCATTCTTTCCTTTTGGATCTGAATAGCTCCCTTTTAGTACTGGTACTGGCTTTGGTGCTGGAGCAAACTAGGGATCCATCTTAAATTTATACTGATAGTCACTTGCAGCTTATTATCTTTTGGTGTTTTATCTAGAATCAGCTCTTTAATTACTGTTTGACTTAAATACCTGATTTTCATAAACATTATTATGATCAGAATTTATTCTTGCGCCAGTGCTGTATGCTTTTCCCTTTTGAGGAGACTTTCCCTAAGGCTCCTATAGTCTATTTGCCTCATGTTCTTCTTTCTCGATTTTATCTTTGATTTGCAAAATCTTAGCAAGCTTGAATTCTTACCAAGGGCCAATATACATTTTATTTATTATTAGAATATTATTGCTAGATGTGAATTTTATATGCTTCATGGGGTTTTGGGGTTTTGGGGTTTTGGGGTTTTGGGG